GGCGAGCTGGCCGTCGCCCTGGTAATGCTGCAGTTTGTGCTTTCAACGAGCCTTAGGCACCGTAATGCCTTCGGTATGTAGCTTTACGTGAAATTTAAGTGTCTTGGGCTGGGAGCTGAGGCAATATTGCATCTTCTAGAAAAGGTAATGGGGAACTTCGTGTTCGTTTAAGTGTCCCTCAAAGCAAAGCAAGCGGCTGAGGGTACCGCTCGCAGCAGTGCCCTGGGCCAGCAGACAGACTTCCCTCTCTCCCCAGTTCCTGAGGCGGCAGCAGGTTCTGCAGCTGTACAGGAAGATCCTGCGGGCCATCCGTGAGGTCCCCACTGAAGCAGATCGCTGCTATTTAAAGGACTGGGCCCGGGAGGAATTTAGGAGAAATAAGGATGCTACAGAAGAGGTGAGGATGGGGACCCCGCAACCCCAAGCGCCTGCCCTCGGGAATGATCAGTGCATGGTCCTGTACTTTGTTGCATGGGTTCAGTTTGTAGCTGTCGCTTTGGACTGAAGTCTCGTGATACTAACTTCTCATAAGTGATCCAGCATCTTAAATATTACCCCTGTGTTGGTATAGTAATGTTTCTCTTGATTTCCAGATAATCTGAAATTAAAAAGCTAAAACCCAAACAAATCCTTGCTTACTCAAACCACAAATCAGAAAAATTGTATTGACTAATACAATAACATAAGCTTATTGATACCCAGGCTTTTTAACAGGTTGTTGGTGGGGGTTTGTTTTTTTTTTTAATCATTACTTCAACTGTATTCAAGCTGAACACAATCAAATGGGATGGTTGTAGATACAAAGCATGTATGAAATGCAGAAATCTTCACATCTCCTCTCCTCTGCTTTCCTGTTCCTTTTTCTAGCCAGTGCTCAAGGAATTGATGGCTGAGTTATGCAGACAAAGCATTGAGGTACTTGGATAAAAATAACACGGCGAGACACATCCACTTGCTGTGTAAAACACCTGCCTGCATAAGGCCCCTGTGCAGCTGTCATAGCTTTCTGGCACAGGCAGTAGACAAAGAGGCATAAAAAGGCATCATTAGGAGTTTGAATCTGTTCAAAACTGAGTTTTAAAGCAAAGATTCACCTAGCCCCAAACACACGGTTAAACAACTGGAGAAAATGAATTAATTTGTTCACCTGTTTTTTAACCATCTCATTGACCAGAGCTGTGACTATTCACACAAAGAAATAGATCGAAACAGTGCTGGTAAGAATTGTATGGATTTTATTGTTAAAACCTGCATGCACGTGTAAACCCTGTGCTGTGTGCAGCCGTTGAATGGATTCACTTTATTTTACAGGATGCGATCAGGATGATGATTACTCAAGGCAACATGCAGCTTCAGGAACTTCAGCGAGCACTTAAGCTGGCAAAATCCTGATCTTAAATTTGTTTGACTTCCATCAAATTTAATTTAATTTGATTTTCATCTGCTGTGAACAACCATAGTATTTATTGGTTTCAGTTACTGTGGTTACAGTACCAGCCTTTGCTGACAACCTGGTCATGTTTGACGCTGGAATCTACCACTGTGGAGTTTTTGTTTGGTTTTTTCCACTTCCTCTTCCTGGTGTGGGTACCTCCTGTGTGGCAGTCACTTGGATACGAAGGACTTTAAAGGACTGAGTGGACGATGGAGCGTGGGCTGTGGGAAAAGCAGAACGCACCGAACGTTACAGAAGTGGTGTTATGCCAAGGATATGGAAAATAAATACAAACCAGATTATTTTGTCTGCTTTCTATTGTGGCAACATTCATAGTGGTAACAGCTCTTTCTCTACTGTGCTAAGGATTTTTACCAACATTTGGGGTTAAAAAAGCATTTGGGACAGATAAATGGGCTCAAAACAAATAAACACAATAAATCATTAAGAAAATGTTTTGTATTTAGATGTTGATTTTCAGTTGTTGCTGAATGAAACTTAAAAGGGGAGGTCTTTATGTATGAAAATGAGAGATTTTAGCCTTAGAAAGGCTCATCACCAAGCTAACAGGAAGTACCTTCAAGTTCGTATTTACAAGTCAACAGAAAGTAGAATTACAAATAGAAAATACTGACTGTGTATGTTGTGGTCTGTTTTTCTAAACGTCACATTACTCCATTTTAATTGTTGGCTTGCAGTTGTTCTTACCTTCCCGTGAATTGCTGTACATTTTTTTTTCTTCCCCCCCCATATAATTTAAAAATGCTGAAGTGAATCTGGGATTGTTCTCAATGTTAAATAGCCAGACAACTGTACGTACCTGCCTGAGTATCCAGTAGCTGCATCCAATTCAGGCTGCAGTTTGTAAAGAGCTGCTGCTTAAGAAAGAATGTCTCTTCTTTTTCTTGATTTTTTTTTTCCTTAATTTTTCTCTGTAAGTCACTGTAGCATCCTTTCCCCGTGATGTTTATTTAGCTTTGCAAGCAAAGGATGGGGCTCAACCAGTGAGGCTGTTGAAGAGTTCAGGTTTATAGGGACAGAAGCCTTTGAGCTTCTATCAGTTGGTGAAACACAGGTCTGTCTAAATATTTAGTTAAAAATCTAGCTTTTGTTAACGTTTTCTAGTGACATGCACTGCTGGAACAGTACTGTGTTGGGGATTACCTTTTCACATGACCAGAAAATGCTGTTTAGAAGGAATTTTGACTCAACAAAACCCTAATCACTGTCAGCTTGTTTTTACATTTAGCCTTAAATCAGGAGCCTTTCCCCAGTGCCTCATGGCAGCGCTTTCCCTTCGGAGCCCTGAGTCTGCGTTACTCCCTTGACTCCAGCGCGCACGTTTAGGCTGTGCCCACAGTGCAGGGATGGGTCTCGATGGGCAGTGCTGCTGCCCCTGATCTCCACTGCTCGGGGGCTCCCGTGTTGCCGTATTTTATAGCCACGAACACAAACTCTTGGAAGTTGCAGTCCAATTTGCTGCTCCCCCTCTGAGCCAAGTGAGGGGATGGTGCCCCTTTTCCCTGGCCAGAAAACATCACGCCACAGACTTCGGAGCAACGCGCACTTTAATTGCTTGGCAAAACATTCGGCTTTATCAGGAAGATACAAAACTTAAATAGCGCTCCTCTGCATTCCTACAGTAGCTTCAACAAACCTGTAAACATGTAAAGTGTCTATGTTAGACTACACAAGTCAGCAATCAAACTACTACTTCTGTAACCGCAGATACACTTGGCTTGTCTTGATAGTGCATTAAGAGGAACTTTAAAAATATATAATACACTTTGCTTTGCTTTATACATCTGCTAAGAAGATGAAAGCTTAATTACTAATTAGTTGATGGTGTCCTCAATACTGTAAAGTGGTTTGAATTGATTTTAGGGCTCTTCAGTACAAAGAAAAAATCTCCTTCTCCCTGGGATAACAGTACTATCCTGTATTTCAGTTTTGCAGAGTGGTTCTCTCAGATGGAGACACCACAGGTTACAGTGCCTCTCGTTTATCTGGAGTCTGGCCTGGGTGTCACTGGTCATTGTAAGTTTTGATTTTTATAACAAAACACAGCCATATAAACTTTAAAATGTGGCTGAGTTCTGTTTTGGGTGAAACCAGCCCTGAGACCTGCAGACTCACCGGGGCCTGGCCTCTCTTTTTAGAGGTACAAAGGAAGAAACAGGGGGAATCATTCAGAGGGCGACAGCCTGGACGAGGTGTCTGGGAGAGAAAGAAACATTTGGGTCCAGGTCTGTAGGTAAAGGACTTTTTCAAGCTTCTTCAGTAGTGGAGAATTCAGCCATTTGCTGCTTGAAGGAAAAGAGATTTATATAAAAATTATCCCTAACAAGCAGAGAGCATGGCTATGGAAAAATACTTGCCATTCCTGCCCTAACCCAAACTTCGCAGTCAGATCACTTGAGTATGGCCCCAACAACCATGTAATCACAAGGAGCTTAGCAACCAGGGCACCATTAATAAAATGACAAATCTAATTTAGTTTTTTTTAAAATAATGTCAAACCAAAAGAAAAGCCAAGTGGCAGCCTCAGCCTCTGTACCGAGTGGGAGGACTCGCCCTCGCATCTCGCTCTGGGGAGCCTGGCCTCTCCCAGCGGGAAGCCTGCATTTGAGTTGGCTCTGTAGCTTCTCTCCACTGACTGAGAGAGGCCATGGGGAGCATCTGAAATAGCATCCACAGCCCCTCATCACTGAGGAGCTTCTGTCAAAAGCTCTCAAACAGCCTGGATGGATTTCAGCACTGGTATCACCACGTGTTCACATGCAGCGTACGGTGGAACCCTGCAGCCACACGTGACCTATGTGGAAACAAGGAAATTCCCTTTTCAGAAAGCAGTTTTGGTTTCTAATGCGGTTGGTTTTCAAGCAGCACCTGGAAATTGAGAGTGCATTATTTAACAGACTCGTGGAAATAACAAAGAATGGATCTGATCTGCAGCACCTTGCTGCCATCAGTACAGTCTGCATATGAATTCTTGGATCTGGAGTTTCCAAAGTTCTCTCTACTCCTGAAACAGCATTCTGGTTGGATGTAACAGGCACTACAAATGCATGTGTCTAACAATGGTCCAGATTCCTGTACAGCAGTGCCAAAATGAGTCCCGTTGCTTGCCTTTACCTGCGGCAGATGCTAGCTCTCTTTCTGCACCTTAGTCCTTAATTTGCTGAGCTCCTCTTCTAAGCTTTTAATATGCTCCTTGAGCACAGCCTTGTCCTGCTGTGCTTTCTGGTTAGCTTGGCACCGCGCTTCTTCTATCTTCCGCTCATACCACTTCTCCATCTGCGTGGAAACAGCCTCGAAGAAGTACTGGGTTATCTCCAGGGCCTGGGAGGTGTCTCTGAGCGGGGGGGCTGTGGGCTGCTGCTGCTCCTGGCCCTGCTGTGCCCCGGTGTGGTGCAGAGCTCTGTGCCTGGACTGCCCGCTTTTGCTGGACTTCTTTGTCTGAGTGCCTTTGTCCATGCAGTAGCCGCTCTGTGGCTCAGGCTTTGCAGGATCAGTCAAGGGCTGTGAAGCAGCTTGAACCTTAACGTGTCTTAATTTGGAGCCCAAAAGCTCGGAGGAGGGCAGGTCCTGCTGGAGCCTGTGGAACGTGCTGGCACCAACTGCTTTGTCCTTTGGTCTGACGTCCTGAGCAGGGGCAGAAGCACCTGGACCGCCAATGATTGACTGTTGCTCTGGACCTACAGGACAAAATATACACAACTGTATTTAGAAAAGCTCTGAGCATTCATATTAGCATTCAGAAATCCTCATTGTTTGAGGAATGATGCGGTTTCCCATGTACTGTGCTGTGTGGGTATTTTAGAGTGTGGATTAGTTTACTGCATCTTCACAGGTGATTTAATGAGGAGTCATTAAAAGAGAGAAGCTGGCTCAGGCAGAGGCACTGCACTGCGGGACGACAGACTGACAACAACTACAGGGCTTCACAAGGAGGACATGTAGCAAGGATCAGGCTGGATTCCCAAAGTCTGCTGGTATTTATGACCCCCCTCCTGCTTCTACAAGAACTAAAGCCTCACTAATTTTGCAAAGGCACCACATTTTGATGCTCCTAAACTTCTCATTGCCCTAGCTCACACTCATGCTGCCACATCTCCTGTGTGGTCATCTGCCTTTCTAGTCTGGGGTATCCATGTCCATGTCTGTTTTCATTGCGCAGTGTTTTTGGGGGCACATACACTGCATTCTACAGAAGTCCAAGGCTTTGGGAGTGCTCTCCTTGAATGTGAAGGCCTGGACATTCTGCTGGTTTCTTTTTTCCTCAAAAGCTTCCCTGGCCAAGCACAGAGAGGTGGCTTGAACCAAGGTCTTCCTTATCCTTGGGTGGCCATAATCCCTGACTGGGCTTGAATGTTCTCAGCTACTTTTGTTCTTCTCAAATGAACTAATGATTAAACAGACTTTAGTGCAAGGGAAGAGGGAAAAGTGAGAGGTTTATTCTAGATCCTTGCAGTTTGAGTATTAACAAGGGAAACTGGCACCCTGCCATTACAGGTTCCGTAGATCTGAAAATCACTAAATACAACATGCTTTCTTCAGCAGACTTTGGGTATCTGCACACCTTCCCGACAGCCAATGGGGTAGGAGAAATTTCAGAAAATAGTGTTTTTCAGAGCATCAAAGGACTTGGCTTCACAGACACAGTGATGTGGAAGCATCAGGAGGAGCTACTGGAATCCCATTTAACCATGTCTTAAAGTATTCCCAGTGGCTGCCTTCAAGTGTATTCTAATTCCAAGACATTAGGCACATGGATGAAGGAAAGCACACAGCCAGAATTAATATCTGTGCTATTAATACAAGTATCCCTCAGTTAATTAGCTCGCCTTGGAATGAATACGACATCGAAGTACGTGACAAGGTTGTACCTGATGCACCGTCCTGTTGAATGCAGAAATGCTGCCCAAAGCTCTGTTCTGGCACCTGGACTCTGTTC